AGGGGCGGGAGGTGAGCGCTGCCCGGCAGTCCATACACAGCACCATGGCAGCGCCGCAGGACGAGGGGTAAGAGGCGCCCGGCGCCCCCGGCCCTGCACGGGTCGTTGTCCCCGGTGGTCTCGGTCCCCCCGCTGACGGCCCCGCGCCCGCAGGATGGTGCAGAGGCGGCGGTTCGTGCCCTGGCTGCTGAGCGCCATCGACAGCGGGACATACCGCGGGCTGCGCTGGACTGACGCCACCCGCAGCGCCTTCCGCGTCCCCTGGAAGCACAACGCCAGGAAGGACATCACCAGCAGCGACCTGGAGGTCTTCAAGGTGGGTGGGATTGGGGGCACCATTTTTTTTTGGTCACCAGCAGCAACCTGAAGGTCTTCGAAGTGGATCAAATAGAGGTCACTAGCAGCGACCTAGAGGTCCTCAAAGTGGGTGGAATAGGGCTCACTAGCAGCGACCTGGAGGTCTTCAGGGTGGGTGGAATAGGTGGTCACCAGCAGCAACCTGAAGGTCTTCGAAGTGGATCAAATAGAGGTCACTAGCAGCGACCTAGAGGTCCTCAAAGTGGGTGGAATAGGGCTCACTAGCAGCGACCTGGAGGTCTTCAGGGTGGGTGGAATAGGTGGTCACCAGCAGCAACCTGAAGGTCTTCGAAGTGGATCAAATAGAGGTCACTAGCAGTGACCTGGAGGTCCTCAAAGTGGGTGGAATAGGGCTCACTAGCAGCGACCTGGAGGTCTTCAGGGTGGGTGGGATAGGGGATCACCAGCAGCAAGTTGAGGTCTTTAAGATGGGTGGGATGTAGGAACTGGGAAGGCATGGGAAGACCAGTCATTCCTGAAACCAACATGCTTATCGAGCCAGAGTCCCTATGCTCACCCTCCTGCACCCCCAGGCCTGGGCACAGGTGAGTGGCAAGTATGAGGAGTGCGCAGAGGACCCAGCCAAGTGGAAGACCAACTTCCGTTGTGCCCTGAGGAGCACCCACATGTTCCACCTGGTGGATGACAATTCCAAGTGTGGTGATGACCCACACAAGGTGTTTTCCATTGTCTCAGGTGAGCCTGGCCCCATGGTGGGGCTGCGTTGGGTGGGGGTGGGCAATCTCAGGATGCCGCACCCCGATGCTCTCCTTTCAGGTATCTGCCAGCAGAGCAGGGAGGGAGATTCCAGCAGCCCTGACCCTGCAGTGGACCAGCAACCAGCACAACAGCAGCAGGAGGTAGCTGGATGGGCACAGCAGGCTGGGGGATCCCCACTGCCACTGCTCAGGCATTGCACCCCCATGCCCTTGGGGTGCTGCTAAGCTGCAGCCCAGCACCTGGCCAAAATGTAGGGCAGGAGGAGGCTGGGTGCCCTGTATCTGCCGTGGTAAGATCTCATCTCTCATCCCTTCACAGCTCGCACGTGATCCCCAAGATGTGGCCTCAGGAATCGCTCCCCCAGGTAAGCACCAGTCCTACAATCTTTTTGGGAGGGTACCCTGCTTGGCTCGGCTGATTTTGCCATTGTGAGACATCCCACTCGCTGTGTTCCCCCTTAGGCAGCACAGACCCCACACTGCCCCTGTCTCTGGAGGAGCTGCTGCAGCGGTGCAACATCTCCCCCCCATCCTCGACCCCATCCTGGTTGCCTGCAGGTGAGGCCAGCTCTGCTCATGGGGTGCAGAGTGAGTGGCCCCATGCGTGAGTGATCCAGTGCCTTCCCACTGGTGATTTCCCTGCAGGGGACACCCTCCACCAAGAAGTCCTGCTCCAGCTTCACCAGGACACCCTACTCCAGCCTCAGGTGGACTGCTTGCCTCCCACGGCATTACAAGAATGGATGCCCGTGGTGGAGCAGCCCACCTTGGGCACCTACACCGCCCCGAACCTCGTGCCGCCGGAGGAGCTAGGTGGGTGCTGTGGGGCAGGATCCAGCCCTGGCACCTCATGCCAAAACCACTTCACTATTTTCTGGATTGTGGTGCTGATGCTGCTCATCTCCTGCAGCAGGGGCCATGCCACTGCCATGCCACCAGACAGAGGTCATGGGCCCCATGCCACCCCCAGGGGAGGTGATGTTCCTCACTCCTGCTCCCAACCCTGTGCCACCTCCACCGCCGGATCACATGGGTGAGAGTTATTAATTATTAGCAGCTATACATTATTATTATAATTATCAATAGTAAGTAATGCTTGGGGGAGGTGCTTTGGTTTGGGGGATATGGCTGCTGATCACTGCCCAATGCAGGGGGGAACATCTACACACTGGACATCACCATCTACTACCGGGGCAAGGAGTTCCACCGGGAGGTTGTTGAGGGTAGCCCTTGCCTGCTGACATACCCATCCTCCAACCCACGGGTGTACCAGTGGCCCAGGCATGTGGTGCACTTCCCCAGCCCTGCCAGTGTGGCTGATGGCAAGCAGCGACATTACACCGAGAACCTGCTGCGCAGTGTGGGGCTGCAGCTGGAGCTACGTGACTTCAAGGTCTTTGCCACCCGCCTGCAGAAGTGCAAGGTATTCTGGGCCCTGTCCCAGCAGCTTGAGGACCCTCCACACAACGTGCTCTGCCGGGACCAGGCAACCCCCATCTTTGACTTCCATGAATTTTGCACAGGTGGGTAGGGGTGTCGTGTCATTTCCCCATGTATTGTTTCCTCCCCATCCTCTTTTTGGGGCTCATGGGAGCCAGCTCCAGGATGTTGCAAGCATCTGAACCCTGCCAGTCCCCCCGTTCCCCCCCAGGCTCACTGCAAAACTGAGCATTGTCTTCCCTTGCAGAGCTAAGGGACTTCCGCAACGGCCAAAGGCGCCGGTCCCCTGACTTCACCATCTACCTCTGCTTTGGGCAGTGCTTCTCCAAGGCCAAACCTAAGGACACCAAGCTCATCCTGGTCAAGGTACAGGAGCCAACACCCATCACTGCCCCCACTTCTGCCCAGGGAAGGGGAGACACTCATGGGGGTCAGGGAAGCTGGGGGCTCTGGGTGCCCAAGGAGGGAGACCCTCAGGGTCTGGGGCAGATGGACATCTGGAGGTGGTACCTTGCAGGACTGAGATGCAGGAACTGAGTGACAGGGGAGTGGGACCCTTGGAGACTGGGGATAGGGCTAGGTGACCAGGGAGGGGATTCTTGTGGACAAGGGGAAACATGGGGCAGGGGTGGGCAGCTGCCTGAGTCAGAGGACACTCAGGGTCTGGGAGGATGAGGTGGAAGGTAGCTGTCCAGGGACTCTGAGGGGTTGGGGGAGATAGGGGCTGTCCCAGACACCTCCTCCCTCCACTCCAGGAGGACAGGGCTGTGCAGGGTGTTGTATAGCCAAATGAAGCAGCTGCCTCTAACCCTGATGTTTTGCTGCTGCAGCTGGTGCCCAAGTTCTGCGAGTCCTGGCATCAGCAGGTGCTGCAGGAGGGAGCCTCCTCCCTCGACAGCGGCACCATGAGCCTGCAGCTCTCGGACTCCTTCAGCCTCTACGAGCTCATCGAGCAGTACAACATGGAGCTGGACTGACCCCCACCCTCTCTGCTCCCCATGGCCCCCTGGGACAGGCAGCAGGACCACTGGACATTGGGGCCAAGGACAGCGTCACCGGCCAGTGCCAGAGCTGACACGTTCCTGTTCCTGTGTCAGCTGTTCCTGTGTCTTTCTGTAGAGTATGGTCAGTCATGGATTTATTTTCTTAATTTTCACAGGTGTAAGTATATATGTATAGAAAGGTAGGTAGTTCTCTCTTGCTGGTGTTGCCTGGACAGCTGCCCCCAGTATCACTCTGAGACCTTTGCCACTCCCCCTAAAACCATGGGGGGTCTGTGGGCAGACTTGTCTCAGCAAAGTCCCTGCTGGCAGCAGTAGGCTGATATTGGAGTGCTTATCAGTGCCTTCTTCCCCTTAAAGTCTGAGTGAATGAGCTGACCTCCCAGGCATGAAAGGAATGCATTTATTTCAATGGTGCAAACAAGACCTGCAAGCAGAACTTCTTGAGGACAGCTTGGCTTTGGCTGAACAAAAGTAATTCTTCGGCAAGCACCTCCTCACTGGCCTGGAGTTACTCACTGGAGATATTCTGGAAAATTAAGGCAGTAACTACAACATGAAGCACTCAGACCTCAGCGCTGAGGTGGTGTTTTCTCAGGGAGGAGTGTGGAAACCAGAGCACTGCTGGAAGATGGAGTGTCTCCTCCCCAGGCTGCAAGCAACTGCACCCTCTCATTTCAGGAGTGAGGGGAGAGAATGAGCCCAGACATCACTGTTGCTCTCTGGACAAGGGAAGGTGACAGTGTCCTTACCTGCCTAGTGACCTGGATGCTGCTGGGCCCAAAGGTGGTGGTCCCGTAGCTTGTCACGTAATAGTGAGCAGGGGGCTGTGCTGGGGGCTCCTCCAGCTGTCTGGGCACTGTGGGAATGGGACACCATCAGCATCTCAGCTCCATGAAACCCTCAGCCCTCTTTGCCCTGAGTGCTGTCGTGGCACAAACTCAGGACCATTGGGCTCACCTTTGGGCAGGAGCAGCTCTGCACCAAAGCGGTGCCCACATGTCCCACAGGTTTTAACATCTTCCTTTGTCCTGTGGAGGAAAAAGCCCAGACAAAAAGGAGCTGCCCTCAGCACTTCTCATGGAAGATGATGCCAAAGCAATGGAAGAAGCTTGTTTTTCCCACCCTGACCTGAAGTCCCAGGTGCCTGAGCACTTTCAGCTCTTCATGAAATGAGGGCCATGTGGGCACATGTTGAGATCAACATTATGAGCCTGAGAGCCTCAGCTACTTCACCTTTCTTTCCCTGCTCGAACATTCCACACCAGTAAGTGCTAACACCACTTAGGACACAAGCTGCTATGGTCAGGAGAAGAGCAATATAATGCCTGGTGAGTTTCACACCTCACTTCACATGGCTGTTAGAAGATGACCAGCCCACCAGCAGAGCAGCAGCCATCACCCAGGTCCTGCCCTGAAGCTCAGAGGCACGCAGTGTGTACATACGTGGCACCAGTGCCGTCCATGTCTGGCCAGATGAGCTCTGCGGGACAGCCGTCCGTCCGGCAGGGACTCTTCACACACACGTGCAGCCCCGGCCACTCCTCAGCAAGCTTCTGGACAATGAGCACAACTGCCACCAGGAAGTCCCAGGCAAACTGGAAACCTTCCAGGCAAAAGGAGAATGTCTTGCTTGCTTACAGCCCCCAGCCATGGCAGCCCAGGAGATGGTGTGGTGATGCACACATTGCAGCTCCATTTATCAAGTTAACCAAGGTCCGTAGCCTTCATAGGGAATTTAACAGTGTGTTGGAAGAGCTTCCCAACTTGGATGGCCCTTTTGCCTATCCCTTGAAGACCCAGCCTGAGACTGTACTCTGCCAGGGCCTTATGGGGAAGGATGAACCATTTGCTCCATAAGACTGAAAACTTGACTTTCCACCTCTATGTGATACCTTTAGAGGAGTCCTGAGAGGAATTTCATGGAGAGAAGGGAAGTGTTTAACTGAACTGCTGTGGACCCAGGCCAGACTAGGACATGTGGCAGAAGCTCTGGGCCACTCTGCCCAGAGGGCTGAAGGTGCAGAGGGGGAGGTAAGGAGAGACATGGGGTTGGGAATCATGAACTATGGATCAGGGATCTTACCTGTCCTTCCTGCTGGCTTTCTGCACCGGAGCTCCAGGTAGCTGTAGGCTCTCTGGTTATTCTCTTTGATCAGCAGAGGTTTGCCATTGCATACAAGCAGGCAGGTCACCTTGGCCACCCAGTGCGTGGAGTAGAAGGAACAAGCTTTCACCAGGAACCTGTGAGGAGATTGTCCATGGCTTTTACCACCCTCCTCCTTGCTTATCCCTAACACTGGGGGAAAGTGTGGCACCAGGTGGACTTGAAATGTGAACCTAATTTCAGTAGGACAGAGGCAGACACCAAATGAGGATTGTCCCCTACTGAAAGCTCAAGCTGCAGGAACAGCCTTTAAGGCAAGAGATGCTTCCAAAGTTGTCCATCTGTGCTGGTTTCATCTGGGATGGAGTTCATTTTCTTCCTAGTAGCTGGTACAGTGCTGTGTTTTGGATTTAGGATGAGAACAATGTAGATAACACTGATGCTTTGGTTACTGCTGGGCAGGGCTTACACTTGAGGCAAGGACTTATCAGGTTCTCACTCTGCCCTGGCAGTGAGGAGTCTGGGGGTGCACAAGCAGCTGGGAGGGGACACAGCCAGAGCTGACCCCCACTGAACCAAGGGATATCCCATACCATATGGTGTCATGCTCAGCATATAAACCTGGGGGAAAGCTGTCTGGGACCATTGCTCGGGGATAGGCTGAGCATCATTTGGTTGGTGCTGAGCAATTGTTTTACATTTGTATCACTTGTCTTTCTTGAATTTTAGTTCTCTCTTTATTGATTCCCTTTAAATGACAATATTACTATAATTACTGCTGTTGTTATAATTTATTTCAACTATAAAACTGGCTTTATCTCAGCCTATGAGTCTTCTCATTTTTGCCCTTCCAGTTCTCTCCCCCATCCCATTGGGGAGCAGTGAGTGAGCAGCTCTGTGGTCAAACCACAACACTGTCAGATAAAACTCCATACAAATCCACAACACCCACAGAAACTGGAACATGCTCAGGTGGGACTGGGAGACCTCTGGCTGCCTGGATGGGCACAGACTAGCCAAACACCACCCCAGATGAACAATGAACCCAGAAGGAGCTTGGCCCTTGCTCACATCCAGGCAGTGAACATTGTGATGGTTCATCCAGGGCTCCACACGTGTGTGGCAGAGCTGAGAAGCCACCCTGGTGTATCCAGTCCCAGCCTCATGCCTCAGCAGATACTGTCTCACCAGCCAAGGGCTTGCTGATGGTCACACTAGCACTGCACCAAGCAAACCCTGAGTCACACAACCTCATTGAAGGCTGGAAACCACTGCTTACCTCTGGAAAAAGCCCTCAGGTATTTCAGGAGAGAAGTAGGCACGAATGTGGAGGTCCTCGGGGTGATCTCCTCCCCACAACTCAGAGACTTCTTCAGTCTGGTTCAGATAGGTTGGGAACAAGTACCAGGACTTGCCTTGGCTCCGTGTTGCCTCCCATGGCTTCCCAGGCACAAACTCACTGGCCTGTGGGTTGAGTGCTTCCATGTTCCTCACCTCCAGGCAGAGCTCAAAGTGCTCTAGGAGGCTGAAGAGCTTCTCTCTCCCTCTGTGAGACCTGTGTCCCATGATTTCCTCAAAGATGTCCTGCATCCCTTTTGAGCAGAGCTGGTGCTTCACCAAGGCACGCACAGCCTGGTGGCACAGCATTGCCTTTGACTTGAAGGTGCACACCCAGTTGGCCCTGTCTCTGATGGTGGCATGTTCCCCAATCAGTGTCTCCACAGAGATGCTCTCGAGCTGCTGGACTAGGCGATATCTTACAAGGAGCTGGGTGGGAAGAAGGTAGTAATGAGAGGAGCCCAGCAAAGCTGCAGAGCTTGGGCCCTGCAGAGCAGATGGTCCTGATCCCCATGCTCACCTTGAACATAGTGATTAGGAAGGCAGGCTGGAGAAAAACAGTGCTTTCCAGGTGCTTGATTTCCTCATACCACACTACAAGCCCAATGCGGTGCAGGTACCTCAAGATGTCCTGGAGAAGCTCTCTGCCCAGGCTGGCCAGGTGCTTGTGCTGGGAGAGTTTGCTGAGCAGATACTGGAGGTCCATCATGCCTAGAGCGAGATGTGGGAGCTCAGCATCCATCTATTGGACAGAGCATTCCAAGGCTTTAAAGAGCCAACACACATCAGCAGCACCCTATGTCACCCGTGCTGTCCTTGGGGCAGCAGCTGGGATCAGTGATGCTCAGTGGCTGTGGCCCAAAATACTTAGTCACAGAATCATAGAATCAACTGGA